AAAAACTCATAAATTGTTACACGAGTTCAACATCATGATTTTCTCGAAGGCTTCAATTTTGTCCTACACATATCTTTATGTAAACCCTTGGTACTTCCCTTCATACTTTCCTGACAGGCAATTGCAAAGACAAAGTAAAGCAATTAGTTTAAGTCATGTCCTCTGACATGCCTCTATGACACTTAAAGGTCTTTTTTGTTATTAAACAAGAGATCGTATCCCTGAAGACCTAACATTCTATAATTGTGTTTATGTATGTGTAAAGCATTACAATATGAAATCCCACCTGTGCAAATAATTCCTCATATAAAGATTTTTTATCGTAGAAATAACTAAAAATATTCAACTCCAACTTGAAGGGCATTAGTTTATAACATACAGACGTTTGAGGGGGTTAGTTTGTCATGTTCTAACGTTTCAAATAATTGTTTTTCATCAGGATATATATCATTGCTTATTGAAATGTATTATTATAATTCTAACACATTGTTCTTAAGTTAAACAATTGCGCCTATATCAATGTTTCCCGACAGGGACTTTGGAATTTTTCATGTGAGGAAGCTATCCAGGTAGCTAACGGAACGTCGGTCGTTCTACTCAGGTGCCCCGTTCGTGCCTAAAATAATGCACGGAGGGGCACCTAAGGTCTTTTTCCACCAGTAAAGCTGGAACGTCGCCAAATGACAGATACTGTGTCGTTGTGACGTAAAACCCAAACAAACTAATATATCACTGTCAATTTATCAATGATGTTCAATTATTGTAAGGAAAGCCAATTATCGAGCAATCATTCAAATATTTAATGCAAATAATAAGAATTTGTTTTAGACTGTTAAAAAGTTATTATAGATACAGTATATACAATGTTGTACTAAACATCACTCAAAAACATTCATATGAACGTGAACTTAAATCGTCGTTAATTTTCTAAATCAGAAAATTTTAATAACTTGTTTGCATGATAAGTCAGTTCTTGTCTGCAGTAACATGTTAAGTGTTAAAAGGAGATGCAAACATGTTAAGATCTATTGTGAACATTGTCATGTTGTCAATAATTCCTGGCTAATTACTTTATATAACTATTTTTTTTCAATTAATTCGTTGCGTTAATAAAGCATAATGGGATCCTACATATTACCGGACAAAATATGATGTTTTTTTATCTGTAACTTTTATTGAAAATAATAAAAAAGAATGGATTTTTACCAAAATAATATTAGGTTCTTAATGCACGTAAACATTAATTTATCAAACATAAAATTAAGCATTTGACTGTAGAAATGTGCCTTTAAAGTAGGGCATTATAAGAGGAAAAAACTCGTGTTACCGGACATTGTGTTTCAAAAAGTTTTGAAGTCGTGAATAGAAATAATCTTTAAATAATCAGCAAGGAAACTACGACTATTGAATGGCAAATTTAATATAATTATTTGAAAAACCCAGTATGTCACTAGAAATAGACAAGGCAGCCATACCTATTACGAAGAGGCCAATATATAGGGTGTAATTGAAATTTACACTATTAACTCAATTAACGTATTGATTCATCATAATCCTTAAACGTATGAAACATTTTGAAATTGAAATGGAATTCTGTTTCTGTCATATAGTTTCATTTTGGTCATCATGTAGCATGTTACAAAAGCAATAAAATCTATTCTATTTACATTTCATTTAGAGTTTACTGTCATGGGTGTAACCCGTTTCCTTATATGTTTTTAAATTTGCATTTCTTTGTAAAAGACAGCAACGAGAAAATGTTTGGACTAAATTTAAAATAACTTTTTATCATTAAAATATGTTACGATTGTCTCTTGAGGTAACGTTGAGAAGAATTAAAAGTAAAACCTATCTAAATTCACCCATTAAGGGCCTCCATATTAGTGCCTGCGCCGAACAGATTATTCCCCCGCATGACAAGATCATGAAATAACTAGTAAACAAAATGGCATGTTAGTAGATAAAGAACTGAATCAACAATATTAACCTGAGAGTGGTTTTGTTGTTATTTACTTTGAAATAGAAAGTGTGTGTACTATTCGGACTGTATATTTTTTTATTCCAAGCAAACAATAAAGCACTATTCGGCAGGAATAGCTTTTTGTACGGTAAACTGATTGCCCGGTAAATATGTAGGATCCCAGAACAGCGACATTATATGTTTGTCTAATTTAGTATAACACCGAAATTGTCCATCTTGTTGTCTGATTGTTTTAACCTGTATATGCATTCCTTATTTTAATTACAAGTCAGTATATACTTTTCATTTGGCCTTATCACAAATTGTTTCGATATTGATGATTTTTGTTGGTACATTCAAGATAATATTAGCCAGCTAAAATTAATTTCTTAATATGTTTTTATTTTCCAATTGAATAAGGGACATTCAAAAGATGTATTTTTTTCTAATAAAAACATTTACTATTTAGTGATTTAAAAATATTAGAATGACATTTTACGTTTAAAAAATTGATTTGCCGCCATGGTGTTTGTTATGCTTACAAAATCTGTATTTGTTAAATTGCAATGTCATCTTTTTATGTTGTTTGAATAATCATAAAGAAATAATATTACAGGACAAATGCGTGACAACATCAAATAAAATTGATAAACGGCCTCTTTCAGTTTATAATTCCAGTCTGTCTTGTGAATAATATAGGCATATATTTATGAGGTTTATTCTTTGAGATTATCATGATTGTCATGACTGCCTTTATTAATTTTATGAACATAACAATCTAAACATTTTACTTGTCAACTCTGGAATATTTTGTTCTAACAAGAACTTAACTGAGAACATTGATAAAAGTGGAACAAACAATCAACACAGGATAAGTTTAAATGATGATAACCGACGTTTTGACTCTCACGTGTCTTCATCAGGGTTATAAAATCATTCAATACTACATTTGTACATTTAATAAGTAAGTTATTCATAACGATTTTGAGTAAATTCTGCTTAAATGCCCTGGTGAAAATTTTAACTCATCTGTTACATATTATCAATACTTATGTCAGAAATAAATACATTCTTTCTGAACAATTCTGATAATTTAATAATGCTCCCACGTATCGGTTTTATGGTTTCATATTCTATAGTACCGATTGTAGTGAATCTTTAATCCCTTGATGCATATAACAAGTGATAAACAGAAGTAGAGCACCAGTTCAAAATATTAAGATAATATTATGCCATCATGACTTACAATATTACGTCAATAATGCTATGACAAGATAAAAATCTGTGTGTTCTATCAGCACTGTCGGGTACGTGAAACGGTGCGGATTTTCCGTGTTACGGTGCTTCCATCCAAGATGTCGGACCGAGAAACAACAAGAAGGTACGTGTCATTTTGTAACCGATGTATTTGGAGATATACGTTACTTACTGGATAAAAGAATAGTTGCATATAATGTAAAAATAAATTCCCTATAAGACCAACCTGTTCACCATGTATGTTATATAGGATTTATATGAATTATTTACTGAAAACTTTGGCGAAAAACACACACGTGAAATTCGAACCGAGAGGCCTGGTAAATTTTTTAGCAAACCTCCATATCAGAGGCATCAATCTTAAAGAAAACATGCTTGATTATTAGCGTACATGTATAAAATCATTTCTGGAAATTAAAAATTGGTTCAATCAGTTTGTTGTGCCTGAATCTGTCTACTTTCTGTTTCGCCTACACACCGGTGCAGACACCTAGCAACGGTTCGGAATTTCCGTAAAAAATGAAACGGTGCTGCCACAAATTAGGCAACGGTGCATACATCTTTTTCAAAGAGTATACGGTTCAGACATAAAAAATATATTTGCTAAATGAAACCAGAAATTTGAAGTTGCATGCCGCTTCACATAATTTATTTCTAATTATTATATTTTACAGCTTCCAAGCACTGGACAGCTCATTTATTGAAGAGTTTCTGTGTTGCGACTGTGGAACAAAATACAGGACGAAGAGTGGTTTACGTAAACACCGAGTACTAAAACTGTTTACTCAGGTTTTATTTTATTTTACAACTTTTGTTTTATTTATTCTATTTAAAATCGGATTATCTTTACTTTATGAAATATGTTAATTACTTACCACAGTCTGGAAAAAAAACTTTCAAAAGAGTATAAATCTATTTTATTGGCTATGTGAAATCACACTGTAACCAAAAAGGAAAACTCTCTTAAATAAGTATACATTTAAACAGAACAGTAATATTTAACTTAGAAAACTGTAGAATCTTTTTCTTATTATGCTGAAAAGGAAAATACAAGCAGAGTGACTGTCTTTCCTAAAAGCGTGTACATGTAAATGTACTTATTTTCTTCTCAACTTTGTTTAATTGTTTATATATATTTTATTCCATAGATAACCAGCCTTATAAATGCTGTGGTAAGTCCTATGTTGAGCGATCGTCTCTTGAAGACCACCAGAGAGCACATCATGATAAGAAGAAACTTGAATGTGGAAAATGCAATGAAACCTTTACAAGGAAATCAGCGCTAAACAGACATATGCTAAGCCATGGAAACACTGAAAAGAAAGAATTTACATGCACCATATGTAAACGAGACTTTTTAAGGAGAGATAAACTTGTAGACCACATTAAAGGTTGCACGAAAAGGCAAAAAGGTTTAGTTACACTATTTGTTCAAAGAAATATGTCTGGAGAGCGAGTCTATGTAGACATCTTTCAAAGAGTCATAAGTAAATCTTCACGTGGAGATATGATATAAGTTCATACTGTATCAAAATGTTTTCCGTACTTTCAAATTTTTATAGCTTCCGTTTTTAATAAGTTCATGACAAGATAACATTTTGATCAATTTTCTCGTGATTTCAGCTTATGAAACAAACAGCTATCCTACTCAAAATCAAGCGTCGGTTGTCGGCCTCTGTGCAACACTTTTGGTTAAAGTTTTTCATTACACCTCACTTACTTCCTAAATCGTGTGAGGTATTGCTTTGAAACTATATAAAGATACTTTTAAGTGACCATCAAATCCACTTCTAGGTAAGATGACATAACTCAGTCATATTATGGTCAAGAATTTTGACAAAATTACGCCCCTTTTTCGTACCATCTTACTTATTTCGTTAACCCTGGGAACTTAACATACTTGTAAGTGTCCATTATTTCAACTTTCAGTCAAGACGATATAATTTTGTCAAGGATTTTGACAAAGTTATGCCCCCTTTTCAACTAAGAATTTCGGTTAAGTTTTCCGTACCCACTCACTTATTTCCTTAAGGTATTGTTTTGAAAGTTTATATACTTATTATTGACTATCATCCTCACTTTCAGACAAGTACTTACAGTAGTCTAGTTTTAAATAAAGAATAATCTATTTCAATAGAACCTGCTATTTTAACGAGCTTTTCTCCAATAAATATTTGACAGAACTAAATTTAATGTAAACTGTTTTAACGTGATCAAATTAAGTGGTCAAAAACGGTACGTTTTGTTCTAGTCGGTTTCACACACCACTGTTTCTTAATTAACCTGCGACTGTTTTATACATTACACATACTTTTTTGTTAGTATGGACTCGTTTATATATTTTGTAAGTGTTGAAATTAAGGAAAGATGTTTGTGCTTTAAAACAGTCATACATTCCGATATTAGTAAGGTCCAAGCAGTGTGTAAGGAAGTTCTGATATACATGTACTTATACTCATTTTTATAACTATTGATACTGTTGCTTTGATATTATTGTTTTACTATCATTTACATGTTCTGTGATTCATACTGTGATTTGCTGCTGATTTATAGTGATTTCCTTTTATTTTACAAATGATCTCAAATGATTGTATAATATTAAAATTAATAAACAATTGTTTTCACATATCATTTATTTATTTATCATTTTTGATCATGGTGTATATGCATGCCATGAAGACATAATTTATCTGAAATATTAACAAGAAATATTCATTAAATAATAGTTTCAACACGTAGAAAGGCATTGTTTCTGTTACTGTCAAGTCACTCATATGCTGCGAAGTACCTGAAAATGACAACATTGGTCCTAGTTAACTCCTGTAGCAGATTATTCTACACTATATAGTCATGATAAGGTGAAACAAACAGGTATTTAAAAATGGCTTTAATACCTCGTTGCACTATAACGCATGTTGAACAGTATTTCATCAGTTCCAAGGCAAATATATATGTGTTTTCAGAATTATTATTATGACACAGAGTGCAAAACAAATACACAGTAAAATTTAAATAACAAATACCGGAAGACAATATTATTGTTTTAGCGTTCTTCTTGCAAATGTTTAATTATTAAATCTCTTATCTTTACAGGATTCAAGATTTAATCCCTGTCGTACGTGCGGCAAAACTTTAGATTCGTGAGCCCTATGGAATTCTCTCACAGTTGTTGGTCGTCTTACTGGTTTTTCCGGCTTAGAAATATTTCCTAATTAACGTTTTCTCTTTCCTCTGCTCCTTTTACTAGTGTCAAACATGTGATCCCTGAAATGTGAGGGGTGTAAAATATCCCCTCTCACATTCTTTAGTAACCAGTTTTCCTAAGTGTTTTGGTCCACTCATAAATTTCAACCACTTTCCATGAAAAAAGTCTGAATCCAATACGCCAAAACCGTTTAACTGCATCACTATAAGTCACTTCGGACGTATTGTCGCAAGCATAAAAACGGCAGACATCCATAAAGAGTTGGAATGCTATATTATCAAATGGAAAATTTCCATTACTAACCATTCTATGAAAGTCCATCCGCGGTTTTAAATGTCCGCTCTTTTTCATTTCCTCTATGACACTTGGTAGAAGAGTTTTCATTTCTTCAAAATTTTTAATAACTTTCTCATATGATGAAGTTTCTTCTTGTCGAGACGAGTCAACGTAAGGAACAGTATGAAATGATTTTAAGGGTGTTAAAGTTTTATGCTTTATCGTAAATGGACTAGCAATTTGCTCTACTTCAATATCAAGTGAAAGATTGTGAAAAGATTCTTGTAAAATATCAATATTTTCATTATTGCATTTGACTGCCAGTGAAAATGTCGTTGCATCTACTTTGAAGTATTGTCCAGTTTCCAGCTCTAAATTTGGTATTACTCCAAAATCTTTTGATAAAAGACCAATTTGACCCGTTGACGCGTTGAATGCTCTCGTTCTTAATTTATGTTGCAGATGACCATGCTGAACAACTAAGTGATTGATACACTCTTGAAGATCCATACTGGAGAACTTACAATAGTAACACAGGTTTTCTTCTCCGACAGTGAAACTAAAACAGAAAAAAAATTATTATACTTGTAATGGGGTTTACATATTCTGATACTCGTCTCGACGAGAAAATAATAAAATGACCAAAAGTTATAGTCGTATGTTAACTTTTTTACTTTTTTTCTCCGATAAGAAGTTATGTAGCTTCCTGCCTTTCGAAATCTTTCCATTTCAACAAATAGGAACAAGAAAGCTGAGTTACATACATATTCAGTGATAAAATTTCCCGAAAAATAAAACAATGTTTATTTACCTTAGATCTATTACAAAATATTTTTATAAATGTATGCTTCAGTTAGTGAAAATATTAAATGATGTAGAGGATAGTTTTCGTATAGAAAATATATTTTCATGACACTTGGTAAAGCTGTAATAATAGTAGCCCGTAAAAGAATAAAAAATTATCAGCTGAATGAAAAGTTATTACTTCCTAGAACTGGACAATAAATAAAGCTGTATCAATAGCAGTGCATATGTAGACAATATACAATTCATGATCAACCCACGCTTGTAATTAAAGCAGTCATTCATCATCACATATTTGTTTCATATTTAGAGAATGTTATTTTATGTTTAAGAACTGTTACTACAACAGTTTTTATTAGACACATTTACATTTTATATATATTCTTTTCTTAAATGTCATATTACAGCTATAGACTAAAAGTGTGTCTGAACCGTATACTCTTTGAAAAAGATGTATGCACCGTTGCCTAATTTGTGGCAGCACCGTTTCATTTTTTACGGAAATTCCGAACCGTTGCTAGGTGTCTGCACCGGTGTGTAGGCGAAACAGAAAGTAGACAGATTCAGGCACAACAAACTGATTGAACCAATTTTTAATTTCCAGAAATGATTTTATACATGTACGCTAATAATCAAGCATGTTTCCTTTAAGATTGATGCCTCTGATATGGAAGTTTGCTAAAAAAATTACCAGGCCTCTCGGTTCGAATTTCACGTGTGTGTTTTTCGCCAAAGTTTTCAGTAAATAATTCATATAAATCCTATATAACATACATGGTGAACAGGTTGGTCTTATAAGGAATTTATTTTTACATTATATGCAACTATTCTTTTATCCAGTAAGTAACGTATATCTCCAAATACATCGGTTACAAAATGACACGTACCTTCTTGTTGTTTCTCGGTCCGACATCTTGGATGGAAGCACCGTAACACGGAAAATCCGCACCGTTTCACGTACCCGACAGTGATCAGATAACATATTTGATACAATGGATAACACAAAATTGGTAAAGCCATATTTCAATTGCAGTCACTTTACAAGACATTGTATGGTAAGAAAACAAAAGTTACATGAATATAGATACTGCCGCAAAATATATAATTATTATAATTATGAACTTACTCTTTATAAAACTTATAATAAAAAAATTTTATTACTTTTTTTAATCAAACAACAGCTAAAATTTGAGATTAGATTAAATATGTGGTAAAAATGCGTTAACGTTAATATATGACGCAGACCTGAAATTCTGAATAAGTAATGTAGACGGCAAAAACATGTTGACGTCAATATTGTAAATACTTTTTATGCCTACATGTACATTTAATATCAATTCATTTATTAAAAGTACATTTCAGTTAATACTGTATTTAAACGAATTGGAAAATAGTACGCGTAGGTAGGAAACAATAATTGCAATTGATGTCTTTAGATTTTACTCCCCCATGTATTGTAAACGTTAGGAAAATCTCAGAGCAATAGTTTATAATTTTGAATAACTTGAAAAACGTTTGTTCGTAAATGTGGCGTATTCGATATATCGTTCTTAGCCTTACATTTTCTTCATCATAGGACGGTGGCATTTTGTTGTTGTTTTGTGATATTCAATAGTATATTGCATTTTTCTTACCTTAAATAGTGTTGTAAGAAAAAACCGGACATGTCATGTCGCTGAAGTTATCAATTAGTCATTCTTAATTGTAACACTATCATTTTAAGTACTTATTTAAATAAAAGTGTTAAAACGGTACCATAGATACCATTAAGTACAAAAAAATATATAGAAATATTTGTATCAGAGCATTATGATATTCAAATTTCACACATAATATTGAGAAACATTGTTTCACTTTTTAAGCGAACCATGTTTAACTTTAATTTCAAAGCTATTTCATTATTTGCAAGATAACATTTTCTTTTTTGCAGATTTGTACGAGTGTCATATTAGGAAACGTGATTGCAAACTATGTAATACAATTATAAACTATTCTGTTAACATAATGACCTTAGTGGTTTCAATTTTATGGGGGGGTTTAATTTGTAGTTCACATACTCTTCCAGTTGCATATTAATAATTGTTTATTTCCAATCCATATTCACAATATTAAGATAAATACTGGTTTCAAAGTAAATTCGTTTTATGTCCGTCAGGGGAAGCTTAGTTATCAAGGGATAGCTGATTTGATCAGCGGGAAAGATAATATTTGGTCTCGACAAGTTATCTCGGACACTGAGTCTGATGGTTATTATCAATTATTCAGAAATGGTGTGATATCAACTGTTGGTCACTTGTTCAGAAATTGGTAATTAATGGATATTTATGACTCAGGAAAACTGAGACTGGCTGACTGCCGAGACATGACGCAAAAATGTGTCACAGTCGGTGTCAAAAACAAAACAAAGTTGTTAAGAAAAACAAACACTGTCGTATAACAATGACGTTGCAGTATCTTCACTCTCGATATATTTCTCTTTCATCAAGCTGATTGTCATGATATTTCTATCAAGGTAATAAGATAAATTCTTTGTAGAATGTATGTATCGTTTTGCCACATAATCATGTAAAAAACATAAATAGAAACGATACATAAAAGTATACAGTTTCTCTTCAAATGTCACTAACCGCTCAGTCTTAAATGATCGCAGTAAGTTTTGTTTCTTTGTGTTGAAACTCTCTTTTTTTACCGTTATGAGAACTAATTGTAGAAATTAAGAAATTTAATTGCTATATGATAAAAATAACTGAATTCGATCCGATTTTTGGACGCTTTACTTTCTTCTGTCATTGCATGCTACATTTTATGACTAAGTATTACGTTAACCTTTAGACTAAGTATGGTTTTGAAAAGTGGCGTTGCTCATTTCTCGATGCATGCACTATGATCCATGAAAAAAATATCATTGAGTTTTTTTTGTTGTTGTTTAAAATGACGGGTAGAAATGTTAAGATTAAGGTACCATTTTATATAGGTCAAAATCTGTGTGCACATTTTCATAATTATTGCAAGCTCCATTTTTCCAGATTGATTATTCAGCTGTGAAAAGTTACCCAACATTTAAAAACGTAGTAAGGCTTTTCACTCAAAAAGGCTAAGAATATCACAAAAAATACGATTTTTCAATTTATTTCAGTGGTTTGTTCTCAGTTATATTTTGCATATATTTCTGTTTTAAGTGCCTCACTTGATCTGTGTAAAAAATTGAAATGTTATGATTTTAGGCTTTCGGACCTCAATGGCGTTCCTTTATCTATATCACAAGCCTTTGCAATTCATAGTAGCTTGTCAGTGACAAAAATTATCAAACGTCTGAAACATGTTAGTATTCTTAGCATGAACGTTTACTACTATTTTGGCACTGGTAATTATATTTCTGTCTCATTTTCAAATCAGTTAATTCCCTAGTTGTTTATTTGATAGAATAAAATACGTACTTTGAATTCGTGGAATTATTTTCCAAAGATGAGAGAAAAGAGATAAAGTATAAACGCAGACATATTATATCTTACTACTTCTTTTTAATATAAAGATTTATTTTCGTAGAATTTAAATATAACATTTATCAGTTAACTGAATCAGATTTGATTTGTTTGTATTGTGTTTTGAATTTCGTGAATTCATTTTTATTAGAGCTATTTATGCACCATTGACATTTATTGTAGCTGAACTGAAATTATAAAAAAAGCTGTTATTAATTGTTGCAGTTTTAATCAAAATTTAATGATTTTATTGTCGTTGTTTTGGTTAATTTAATAGTAATATTTTATTGAAGTAATATTTTGTTGTTATTTAGTCCATTTATTTCCATTTCTTATAATTATTGTGATTTGTGTTTTTATTTTTATTTTCTGTTTAAGGACTTTAACATCAGTGCATGTTTATAGTTACTTGTTGGAACGGTATCGGTATATAATACAAAGTGCGATTTTTTAAACAGCTTCTAAACAATTTAAGTATTTTTGTTTGGTTTTATTATTGATGTGTGATAGAATATTCCTAGAATACAGATACAATTTACCATAATAAATCACTGAAAAGGATTTTACTTCCCGATTATTGTATTGGACTGTTTAAATATGTTTTTTTATGAATCAATATGGAACCGCATTCCAAAACGTATAACCATGTGATTTATCCTGATAAGTTTAGTAAGAACAATAATTAACTGGTAAGTAATGATGCATACAGAATGAAATATCAAATATCATTAACGGCACATATATTCCATAAAATGCATCTAGAGGATATAAATCTAAATGTCACTGAGAACATCAAGTTTTAATTGTAATCGAAACATTGCGTTGGATTAAATCTTGTTAAATAATTGAAGGTACAACAGACAGAAAAATATGGTTTTACATTTTTGTTAACATTCACGGTCGACTGAGCAGATACAAATGACATCACAGTACGTAGTATAAATAAAGCTTATAATATTTTGTCACTTTTCCCATAGAACTTGAAATGGCAAATATAAATAAATGAATTAGTTCAATATGGAATCATAAACGTAAAAAAAACACTTTGCGAGACTTTTCATTATTATCATTATTATTCTCTAAACAGTGGAATCTCGCATTATAAATAATTCTAATAACTAACCTTTCCAGATCGTAATATAATTAAAAACTTTTGAATAAATGGACAGACAGGGACGGACAGGGACAGATAGTTAGATAGAATTTAAAAATCAAATAAGCTACACAATCACCTCACTGGAAAACAGAATATAACTTACGAAAATGAGAAATTTATATTTTACAAATCATTCCACTTTTTTAAAGATCATATTATTTAAAAGCAAAATAGTTAATTCAGGATAAACCTCAATTTCAAGCCAATTACAAACAAAGTTATTTGTCTTACGGTATCGTTAGACTACAAATGAAAGCAAAGTACATAATTTGTATTTAATGTATTGACATTTAAGATAAAATTATTCAAAATAATGAACGGTTAATTCTGTCATAGTGAGCTGTGAAAAAGAAAAACAAAAAAAGCGTTTGTTATTAACAAAATATTATAAAATGACATTATATTACTTTCAGAAATCACTTTAATTATAAACTGTAATTGTTGTGTCTTAACAATCTTAAGATCCCGCTTTACCTGCTTTTAAGGAATAAATCTGAACTCAATTGCCTTCAAAAAGCTAATGTGTATCCAATGTAATGAAATCATAATTTGTTGACTTCATATTAAGATACAGCAGATATATATCATTTTTTGTATTCAATACCATGGTTGCAGAATAACTCTATTTGCTTATGAGGAAAGATTATTTGAGAAGGTGTTGGTCATTTGACTCAACCATCTTTGTTTCTTGTACATTTTGGCATTCATTTTGTAGTATTTAAGTAATTTGAATAGAATTTGCCATGACAGAACAATAAAAGTTTTCATTTTTAAGGCTAGTTGAATCTTGAATAATCAATTTAGACAATTTTTGAGTACGTAGCAGTTGACTGATTATGTATTACTGATTTATTTCGCGGGATGTCTATCTAAAACAGTGTGTTGTTCTTTAAAGGTCATGCAATTCATTATTGAAAGGTCAAAATACAGACATGATTTTTTCCGAGTCTGCCTATTACAATCCAAAGTGCTACATTATTACCATGACATATCTTATTATAATAAGTATGTTGGTGATTCGAATTAAAGAAGATTATATATCTACTAACGTTAAAGTTTCTATATTGCCGCTTTTTTGTCTTATTTATCCAGTCAACGCATAGATTCCGACATGACCCCATGTAAAGATTCAATCCAATAGTTTGTTTTTCAAAAATACATTAAGACAATATGGCTTCATTTACATTTTACCAATGATATAAATGTCATGTTTGTTTGTTTCTAATAAATGAACAGGCGCTGTATATTCAGACCTTGTGTAAAGACGATTGTCCAAAAGAAAATAAAAGAAAAACACGTAGTAACTAAATCTGAGAAAAACAACAATAA